AAGACATCGGAAGTATATATGGTTGTCTTGTGTTTGTAGGTTTTTGTTGGAGCGGTAATACGAAAAGAGTTCTGAACTTTGTTCCGAGTTTCATTTCCATGCCCCAGTGACATGAAAATAAACAAAGAAGCTGAGTCATCTTATATCAAAGTGAATCTTGAAAATGATAAATATGAACAATGAATTACCTTTATTCTACATTCATGGGTTTTATTACTGCCAACGGTGGAATTCAATTTGAAGCGCTATTTTAAAGATAAGCGCTAACCCTTTAGGTTTACTGCTAGAGACTATTGCCTTTGGCAGTAAATATTTTAAAATTGACAAGTTTATACACTACATACCTTACCTTATAGTTAAAATACACAGCATGGTTTCTGTGCGTTCATCAATCCGATTAGTGCGTATTATGGAATTGCACAATTATCGACATTCATACCCAAGGGTACACCTACAAGGGACGTAACTCGTATTGAAGTTAACACACACACACACACCACCACCACCACCACCACCACCACAACCACCACACACACACACACACACATACCCGTGCGACAAACATGAAGAGGTACATACATTTACACTTACATAGCGAGGTCATTACTTTCCGTTACTTAAATCACCCACTGTGCCACACGGCATCGAAGGCTATGCTTTGTGATTGGTAAAAATCATTTCAATACGATAAAAAGAGAATCCAGTACGTCATAAAAGTCATCAACACCACGCACTGTTATAGAGGTATTTACAACAGTCTACAATACTACAGAGGTATTGGTAGATATAGAATATATCAACACTCCGTAACAAAACTCATCTATCTCGCCGAGGTAGGGATAAAAATATAGCTCATAATTGCAAATTATAGTTAAAGTCGCCAGGTTCTATTAATGAAAAATAATGGTAAAAACCAACACAATATTTAAACTAGACTTATTGATGGAATTTGATCCATAAAAGGGTTCCCACACAACCTTGAAAACTTGAAAAAGCCAGGAAAATAGAAAACAAATTTCCTGGTTGGGAAAACTTTGTGAAATATCATAAAAAAAAAGAAGAAAAAAGCCTGAATTTCATAATTTATAGTTTTGATTATTTGATTCAGTTGATGAAAATTATTTGCACCAACAATAATCAAACAAAGGATATACTAGCCTGGTGTAAAAGAGCCAACATGACTCATTTGGATTAACCAAATATAAGTAATACATGTATTTATTTGTTGAATCTGACTACAACATAGTACATCTTTGCAGAACAGTAAGAAGCTGCATGCAATGTTATATATTCCAAAACCTTGGATTGTAGATTACCTTGAATTTCTCTTTATGACCTTGGAAAAGCCTTGAAAAGGCCTTGAATTCTGACATCAAATAAGTGAGGGAACCCTGCCATAACTATAAAGATACAATGGCCGTTATTTTGCAAAATTCAATGTGTTACCTTTTTTTTTAAAATATATGAAAGCTTTCTGCTATATATAGTATATGGAGTACTGAGGTAATCAAAGATATCTAGGACTTTTAATTAATATCAAGATCTGATAACACATTTGACAGACTTGAATGTATATTACCGAGGTATTAACACTTGACAGACTTGAATGTATATTACCGAGGTATTAACACTTGACAGACTTGAATGTATAGTACCGAGGTATTAACACTTGACAGACTTGAGTGTATATTACCGAGGTATTAACACTTGACAGACTTGAATGTATAGTACCGAGGTATTAACACTTGACAGACTTGAGTGTATATTACCGAGGTATTAACACTTGACAGACATGAGTGTATATTACCGAGGTATTTACACTTTTGACAGACTTGAGTGTATATTACCGAGGTATTAACACTTGACAGACTTGAGTGTATATTACCGAGGTATTAACACTTTTGACAGACATGAGTGTATATTACCGAGGTATTAACACTTGACAGACTTGAATGTATATTACCGAGGTATTAACACTTTTGACAGACACGAGCGTACATTCCCGAGGTATTAACACTTTTGACAGACACGAGCGTATATTACCGAGGTATTAACACTTTTGACAGACATGAGTGTATATTACCGAGGTATTAACACTTGACAGACATAAGTGTATATTCCCGAGGTATTAACACTTTTGACAGACATGAGTGTATATTACCGAGGTATTAACACTTTTGACAGACATGAGTGTATATTACCGAGGTATTAACACTTTTGACAGACACGTGAGCGTATATTACCGAGGTACAGTATTAACACTTTTGACAGACATGAGTGTATATTACCGAGGTATTAACACTTTTGACAAACGTGAGTGTATATTCCCGAGGTATTTACACTTTTGACAAACGTGAGTGTATATTCCCGAGGTACAGTATTAACACTTTTGACAGACATAAGTGTATATTACCGAGGTATTTACATTTTTGACAGACATGAGTGTATATTCCCGAGGTATTTACACTTTTGACAGACATGAGTGTATATTACCGAGGTATTAACACTTTTGACAGACATGAGTGTATATTCCCGAGGTATTTTCACTTTTGACAGACTTGAGTGTATATTTCAAATTTCGTACAGACCCCTTATATAAACATCAACACTTTGTCAGGACCGTCTCAGCATTTCTGACAAGTCCGAGCAGAATCCCACCGGTGGAACTCTAGAAGAGCAATCAGGTCAGATGACATAAAAAAAAGCATGCAGACACAAACCTATGCCGACAGCAATATATTCACACTTGGTCATCTATTATTTCATTACTTCAAATTACTGTGTAATGAACCAAATCATGAGATTAAATGTGTTTTTGTGAAATCATGTTTGACCCTTAATCACTTTTTCCAGGAAACAAGAGGTGACTGGAACACCAGGAATATATTACAATTTTACCAATCAAAATTAATTGACTGCAACCAGAAGTTCCAAATGTGACTCAGTAATAAGAATAGACCCCATATAAAATTACTGTCAATATGAAAAAGAAAATTAAGAAGACATGATGTAAAGTTTTTATTGATAAAAACAAAAAAATCATGACAATAATGAAGTTTGGAACCTGCAAAGCAACTAAACCAAATCATGGTGTGTATGTAAAAATACAGGAAACAGTTTAGGAATATTCACCACCATTAAATTAGTAGTTCTGCACACACATTTACTCATCTTTACATAACAGCATTGGAACAAACCAAGTACAGAATAATAAAACAGGAAATATGATAATAATTATATGTTATTGCAATATTCATGAAAAACCTTTCATGCAAAAAGTGTGATTTGTGTTGCTATTTATTCTGTTTAAAATGACCCAATTACCATGGATCCATTTCAGGATTGTTTTACAAAAATATTGAAAATTAGAAGCGGATGTAAACTATCGAGTAATTTTTATTTATGTTTAACAACTACAAGTTATATTCATAGAGAAAAACACAACTACAAAATTGAGAAAACATTATGAGTAAGACAACAGAAAAAAAACAGAATTTGACCATAAGGTCACAAACATTGCAATTTCTTGACTCACTTGAGTTAACATTTATTTTCAGATAGAAAAAAATAAAATAAAAAGAGATACATGAACATAGATAAAATTGTCTGTAAAACATTGCATCATTCTTAATAAGGAGGCTCCCAGAATTTTTCAATAAAATTCCTAAACATAAGATAGTAAAATGCCATGTTGTGCTAGAAAGTTTTGATCTAACGCTTGGCCACTTGGAGAGCAATCTTTATTTTATCATATAGCTATTTTGAATATATTCATGTAATATTCTGTATCTGATTCAGTTGCAAAACCACATATAAAGTAGCAATTGAAGAGAAACAGAATTTTCTGCATAACAAAATTATGGTAAAAAATTATACCTAATATGGGCACCTCCTTTGGCAAGTTACCCACACCAAATGCCATTATCAAGAATTATACAGTTATTTCTGAAAAATATCAGACTTTATTGCCAACCTGATTTACTGTATATAATCATACAAAATAAAACTAGAAAACTGATGTACTTCATCAAAAAAAGGCCCCCAGCCAATTGCAACTCTAAATTCAGAAATACAGGTGTGTAAATTGACCAATTAGAAAGAGGCTTCCATTTTTGCTAACATGGCAACCAAACTGTTATGACTATGTTAGACATAAGTCATAAGTTCTACAAAGCAAATTTGATCTACATAAAAAATAAGTAGATTTTGACCAACTAGAAGCCTTCATTAAACTAATTGAATTACAATTTAAATCCATTGCCCTATGAATCACTCTTATCACTTTTAAGTGTAATCAGAATTGGTTTACTAGAACAGTAATTATATTCCAAAATGTTCCACATTGGAAGTGAGGCCCTGGTGACCATTTTGGATTACCAAGAAAAAATTAAACGATTACTGCACATCTACAAACCATAGGCTATTACCATGTGCACTTTTAAATAATCTATGCAAACCAAATATAAATGGACAGACAGACAAGGTAGTTCCGATAGGGCTCATGTATCATAGATGCGGAAACTACATACTTCATAAGGGCTATTACAAAACATCAACCCTGGGGAAGGACCCTTGAATTAATTGCTTCTATAATAACCTCTTTCTCTCATTACATCATCAATGTAAACTTGTATCACCTTGTTTGCTCACCCCTCCCCTCACTCAGGTGTTTAATTCGAATCAACTTCTATACTTTATTCAGATGCAATACCTTTGCAATAGGCTAAAGAAAAATGTACTTGTTTCTCAGGTCCTCTTTCATCCAATAAATGTGTTATTAAAAAAGATATTGCCACCTAGGGCATTTACCAATCTTCATACTGTAGAAGCTACAAGTATGTGTAGAAGAATCAAACAGGAAAAGAATCTTTGGCGAAAATGCTGATGAACATACTGATGGACGCAATGATAACAAGAATTATAACACTTACCAAAGTACAAAAAAAATAAAATCATTTCAATGAAATGACTAAAATGTGATTACATACTTTGATAGTTGTTCAAAACTTCTAAACTTTTGTGGGCCCACATAGCGACCTACCTTTCCTGTTGTTTCAACATTTTTTTGGTTTTGATTTTTTTGCTTGTTATCCAATTATGAATGGTGTTTTTTATTTTCTTCCATTCCAACCCCTTAAGGCAGCTATGTGCTGCAATAGCTTCTTCACATTCTTTCCTTTTGAGTTCCTTGCGAAGGTGGACATTTCCATGAAAAATCAGCTTTAGGCACAGCTGTTGAGTCACGTTTAGCTTCACTTGGCCTGAAAATGACAAGTACAAATTCAAGATGTCATAGACACTATGTCATAGGTAACTTCATTTGAACTAAAACAATTTTAGACAAGACTTAAGGGTAAATTATTAGTCACTTTAATATCGCTTTGTTCTTGACATCCCCCCCCCCCAAAAAAAAAAAATTAAAGTCTGGAAGACATAAATCCCCTGATGCCATGTTTACACTGAATGTGGACAGGATGCATTATTTCATGATTTTGTTCTAAATATAGCAACAGTAACCTGTAGCCTTAGCTTGACCTTGGGACCATGAATTATAACAATATTTTAAAAATGTTCATACTTGACCTTCCCATAAAGTTTTATCAAATTCTGTCGAAGAATTTACTTTTAGAAGTGTTTACATGTAGTTTGAAACAACAGAATTAGTTATCACTTTCTTTATATATAGTAACAGTGACCTTGACTTTAAAACCCTGAATCACCACAGAATCTTAAGTATGTATACTCATATATGACCTTTGTATAAATGTATAAAGTTTGATCAAATGTTAAAGAATGAAGCATGAAATGGACATACAGGAATAAGTTTACAAAATTGCTTATACTAGTATTATTTTGACTTCATCTAAGAGGTTTAATGCTTTAATAAAAAATGATATAATTGATTACATCAAAATTAACTGTTTGGGGAATTGCAAATAAAACAACACAGACATTATTATGATGTCACAATGTTTTTGTTTTTTAATTTTTGTTTGACAAATGGCTATCAAATCATATTATGGAGTTTTAGAAAACTTCTATTGGGTCGAATACAGTATGCTATAATGGTAATGAAATAGTATGACATGCCTTGCTCATAGCAAGCTAGAGATCTCTAGATTGGTGGCCTTTGTCAAGCTGGAGATTTTATTTATGATATTGCTTAAATCTCACAAACAATATTCATATGAGATCTGCAATGATTTGAGGTACATTTTAGCTAAATTTTTATTATGAAAATGTGTTGACACTTTCTTTGTTTTGACAGTCAATCTAATAAGGTGGCTGTGATTTCATTTTTGGAAACAGATGACTTACCCATGTTTCAGTTTTTGATGAAAAGGGTGGTTGATTTGGTAATTTTAAAAAGACAAAATAACCATGACAGAGGAACACTTAAGACATAAAAAAAGTTGTTTACAAACATATTTAGGAATTATACAATCAACAATTATTTAAAACTTTATATCCAGTATTTACTATGTAACAGGCCTTAAATCTTTTTCGATAGTGTATTTTCATAAACAAAAAGACCATAAAAAAGGAGGGAAGCTAATAGAACACGAATACAGCAAAGACTCCATCTGTTTCTACTCCATATACAGTACCTTTTCTATTGGAATGACATGGTCTCGCTACTCTAACAGTGTGGTTCTGCTGGGGATTGGGATTAGGTGTCACTGGAATATATAACAATAGAGCAATTTCTATATATTGCTACACATACACAAATGTTGTTCTTTTTATTACAAAGAATGTCTATAAATCACTGCAGATTTATCAGGGATGCGGTAATTAAAAATGTAATGTGTAAATGAATATTTTTGAAATGAAGTGTCTGGGAAAACATTTGTATGCAATCGTGTTCTTGGTAGTTATAAACTCAGAAACTTTTTTTACTGAAATTGTTACCCCATAGCAACAGGAAGGTCAGTATTTAAATTAGAGATGTTGTACCTCCATAATGGATAAAAGTTACAAGCTAATTGCAATGAGACTGCATGGAGTACTGTGGATACAGTATGTAACCATTAAGGCATAAGGTGCAAATGTTAATATCAGCACTGTTGCTCATATTTCAAAAACATTTCATCAATAATATGAATTCAAAAGCAATGTATTTGAGTTCCATTTCACATGCATGGAGAAGATATTTTATTGACGAAAGTTCTAACTATGTAAGAGGCGATACTATTAAAATGCTTCACTAACATTCACAGTACTCCCTCCCCAGGGGGCAACAAGGGACATACCAGGACCGAAACTCACAATTCTGATAAAGCACTATATATCTTTAAATCTACTAATTGGAGTTTTTAGTACTAGCAATTCTGGAACTACTAAAGGATTTTTGAAGAAATTAAGAGCTTGTGGTCATTGAAAAACAGCCTCTTTGGAAGGAGTTCCAATTATGTGAAATGTCTAATGTATGCAACCACTATGGACGAAGCATGAAGGCAGCAGGACATCAGATAACTGACCTAATAATAGTTGACAAATGTATTCAACAAAAAATACTACGAAATCACTATTTATATAATTTCCACAAACTCCTTACCATCAGGCGAAACGTTTTCCATGTCATCATTACTAGGTTCAGACTGATCATTTTCGTTATCAATTGGAAGTTCATCACCACCTTCAGGTTGATCATCAAGCTCCAAGTCTATAATATAGATTAAGCTAACACATATAAAGACAATGATGAGAGTTACATGGTTAAACAATTATATTCCAAATCCTACAACCCTTTACAATAAGAAAGATCAATTCATGCAAGAAAAATTATCTGAGGAACATTGCCAATTATTGACAATTAAGTCTTTTAATTAGGATATGTAGATGAGTTTGCCTTTCTCTCCCATACATGTATACCAAAGGTAAATATATTTAGTGACAATTTTATAGGTACATGACTACGTGTATAAAACACTAGAAATATGCTGGCCCTACTTCATCTGGTGGATTACCAAAAAACTTTAACCTCTCATGTACAAAAATATATGTTTTTACCCCAAAAATTCAAAGATAATTCTGCAGGCTCTATCTCTGCGAGCTAAAAAGTGTGCAAAAACTAGAAAGGTATTGATGAGAAACAGATTCCCAATTCAAATGACATTTCATGGACACAGAAGTAAGTGTCATTATGTGAATACAACAAAAAAAACACCGAAATGATTGTTGTTTCAGATTACTAGACTTGCACTTCTGGTTTTGAAAACGCCCATCTCATTTAACTGATCGTCTGGAATGGGTTGCCTTTTCGATTAGACATTGATTATAATCAATCATCAACACAAGTTTCAGTCCTGCAGAGTTGTAATAAATCAATATAATTATGTACATACCCTCATCAATCTGGAATTTTTCTATTGATTTCCCACTGTACCTGGCCACATCTCCACTGTCAAATGCTGTTAGTAACCTTCCCATTCTTGCAACCTGCAAAGTTTCCTGTGGTAACCTGTAGAATGACCTATGGATTTCAATGTCATGCCCCATAAATCCAGCAATATTTTCCAAGTCATTTTTTGTTAGGTTCAAAACCTGACTTACTGTTGCAACATGCTTTCGAAGCCTGGGTGCTAGTAAGGTTTTCAGGTACCTCAGTTTGGCTTCCCTACCAAAACGTCTCAGGCTGTCTGCACTTCTGATTGGATTCAGCGAGTCAAATGAAGACCTTGGGAAAACATACTTGTTATCCGGATGAACACCAGCTGCATCTCTGT